TATATTAATATGTAATAAATAAATATTTATCAATTTTGTTACGTTTGTCCTAGTTGATACTATTGATACCATACATACAGTATAATTACCTTTAAAAAACTAGATAAAACCGGATAAATTAAATAATAATACACTTTTCTTATTAAATTATAAATATAAAACATAATTTATTTTTTTAAATAAACAATATTTTATATTCATTTAATATTATTTAAAATTTGGTTACAATATAAGTAACTTTCCATTAAATTATACCACAGTCTGTGTACTTTATAGTCGGTGTAGGTATCATTAGTTTATAATACTGTGTGTACACTGTATTCACAATAATCTCTAATCATTAGATAAACAATAATTAATGTGTTTTTCCATTAAAACTAAAGTCAATATAAAAAGCTCAATACAAACACATCGGCTGTACATACAATCGCATACCATTCCTCTATAGATAGTGACTACAATGAGACTACAAGCCCTCTCCATACTCGTTGCCATACAATTACATGGCATATGGTGTGCCACTAAACCCCGGGTCATTTGCTACTGGGCTAACAACTTACCCGGGGGTTCACAGCCCGAGGATATCGACGTCACCCTATGTACTCATATTCACTATGCCTTCCATGTTATGGACGCCGAGAACACTACGATAGTGGACGGGAGGGGTAGCCCACAGCCCGACACGTATAATAGGCTACTGGCTCTCAAGCAAAGGAATCCGGACCTACAGGTGGTGGTGTCGGTGGGCGGGTGGGGTCACCCGGACATCAAGTTTTCACGTGTGGTTAACAGTGCGGACCTGAGGCGAAAGTTTATCGCTAATGTTATACCGTATATACAGAAGTATAAGTTCGATGGCCTGGACCTGGACTGGGAGTACCCGGTCTGTTGGACCGGCAACTGTACGGCCGGACCCAAGTCCGATAGGCCTAACTTTGGCATATTTGTTAAGGTAGGTTAATTTTAATAATTAATAGGTTAATGATGTGTAAAATTAATGTATCCTACTTTATACTAGTATTACAGTATGTGATTAAATATGTCTAAAAAAGGTAAATTAATTATTAATTAACAATAAGCGTTATTTATACTATTGTGTGAGATTATTACGTGTACTAGTATAATAATCTAGTTGTACTGTTTACAGTAAACCTAATTTAGTATTGGGCTAATTAATTTTTAAAAGTTAGTGCTTAAATTGTATTTTATTATTAAATACAAATACAAATACAAAAATTAAACGAGCTAATTTTTGTTAATCAAAATTTAACTAATTGACTCAACTCCCCGTAAATTTAAGTGCACAATCATGGAAAAGTTAAAATTTTATTTGAATTTTAATTTACAGGTTTGAATTTTAGATAATTAATTAATTATATTTTTTATAACTATTTATTAGGAAATAAGGGAAGCATTTAATAGGCTAACCCCGAGGCTAACCATATCGGCGGCAGTGGTGGCCGGGTATGAAATCGCCGACATAGCCATGGATTATAAAGCGATCGGCGAGTATGTATTTTTATAACCAGCACAAACTGTCATTTTAAAAATATACTGAATTATTCATGTATTTATAACATAAATTCATTTTGATTGGAGACTTACTATCATTGTTAGGATTTAAATAAATTTTTTACAAACAAAAAACTGTAAACAAAATTTATTAACCTAATTTAAATATCTCAATACATAAATGAGCTAGAATAGGTTCAGAAGAACATCAAAGAAAATTATCCAGGTGCCTGAATCTGAATCTATTTTTTATAAAATTAATTCCGTTTCTAAATTAATAAATATCCTTGTAAGTTTTTAATTTTATCATTTAGACAACTATAACTATATTTAGCCATTAACAAATAGTATTTAATTTAAATTTTATTTACCAGGTTAACTAACCTTTTTTAAAATTATAATTGGTTTGCAAAATTGAGATTTACATACAGATATTTACAAACATGCTAATTTTTGAAAATACCCAGGGCACTGGACTACGTAAACATAATGACCTACGACCTGGCACCGGTAACAGCCCTGAAAACAGCCCATCACT